ACTTTAAAGGCGAGGGCTTGTATTTTTTGATCGAAAATCGATAAAAAACATGCCGTTTTTTTGAGGATGTCTCGAGCGAGAGCGCGATTTTTGAACGAACTTGAGGGCGTCCCAAATGTTTGCGCGACGGAAGAACACGCAGGCGTCGGCGGGCGACAGCATTAAAAACTAGAACCCCGCAGAGAATGTGGGGATAAAGCAAGCCTGAATTTCGTAACATAGGAAAAGAGACGGGCCGGGCCCTACGTTTTGGAGGATTGGTCGGTGACTTTGCTTGATGTTGTGTGCCTGGGCGTCGGCTGTGTGTGCGTGGCACATGTCATCATTTGGTTGAAAGGAAGGTTGAGACGTGTCCTCGCAGGAATGCCGGGAGGCTTGGGTTGTTATGAATCTTCGGCCCAGACAAAAAAACCACGCTGCACGGTCGTGACAGTGAACGACCGCGGTGTTGCGGATACTTGAACAGATTTCTCAAAGTTCCAGTTGAAGGCTTCTAGGGCCCAAGCACCAAGTTCCTGAGGCTTGGAGGGGCCGGGCCAGCAGGCTCCTTTAGGCTCAGCTGGCTGCGTCGGATATGGGCCCTCCAAGAAGGTGCAGCCAAGGTAGCTGCAAGGAGAGGGAAGGTGTCCGCTTCCTCTGGCTATGAATGCACCTGAGAACATCCTTGTGTTTACACTTTACGTTGCCAATCCTGACCGACTGTAAGCGCTCACTTTTTTCTGCATGCTGAATCCTTAACATCATCACAACCAACCCAGGTGCGCGTCGCAGAGTTGGTGCAGAGGGTTCGTTTACCAAGAGGCGCCCCCCAAGAATCAGTCTGACTCTGCCCGATGCCAGATTATGGACCTCCTGCAACCTGGTGAAGCAGACGTGTCCGGTTTGTACTCATACTCCGTGGGTGCGACTTCTGACCAGAAGCTACCTGGTTCTGCCATAGTGTACAGCAGCAACACGGACGGATTCAGGTGGTGTCGAGGCTATGTCAATGGTTGGACGAATGACATTTGGAAAGATTGTACTTATCCGCGGGGCAATTTCTATGATATCCAAAACACAACGAGCGTACATGATTGTGCCCAGAAATGTTTCGAGCGGTTTTGGTGCAACGGCTTCAACTACAAACATGGGCAGGATTGGCGGAATGAGAAGGATTTTCATCTGGGAGCATGCCAAATGGTGGAGTTGACGAGGCCTTGTACTACCGGGGTGACGAACGTAACTTCGTATGTTTTTCAGCGCGATCACTTCGTGACCACAACGAAGCAAGTCTTGCCAGCTCTCGATGACACAGCTGGGGCTGCAGTGCCAGACCCCACTTTGCTAGCTGTGCTCTCTGGCATCCTTGTCTCTGGATCACCATCAGGAAGAGCTTCAAACTAAAGTTTTGTATGACAGAACAGCCTGAGAAGGCATGGAGAAGTTCCATCAGTTAACAACACAGTTCTGGAGCCTGTATATACAGTAATCCTGATGAAGGCCTTATGCAGCCCCTCTGCAGTCCTCCTGCCCCGTGTGGTCTCCCTGTTCCCTGAAAATGAGCGAGGTCTTGATTGCCATGGTTTGTTTGGTTTGCGTTTGGAAGATGCGGGCCAGCCACCCTCGAGAACAGCCTGCTGTCCCCGGGCAGGTGCTGTTAGGACCAGGGTGCCATTTCGGGGATTTCGTCTGGAGCGCGTGAACATATCCCGTATGATGTAGCCGTAGCAACATCCAAAAGGATCATTTGAAAGTTCTAGGTGGCTGGAAGTGGAGTTAGACATGTTAAAAGTTCTGGGATAACCATAGTAATCGTAAATGTCGAGTACCCTTGGGCCTTCAAGTATCCTGGCGAGGACGGACGTCAGCACTCAGCCTTGAGGGCAAGACAAAAGCCTCAACAGTGCTGGCCAGAACAACCACGATTTACGAGGTGGGCAGTTATCAGCCTGAATGTCATGTTCTTAGCTAGTTGTCGGGATTCTAAGAAGGTTTTGCAGGGCTGGCCAGGAAAGTGCAGAAAGCATACTATGGTGATTTGTGGACAAGTCGTCCAAATTAAGTTAAAGGTTCCTTCTATAGTCTCCAAATTGCCGGGCGCCCTGGTATTTCACGTAGCGTGCTCAGGTGCAGTTGGGAATCTCGGCCACCTACCTCCTGGAACGTTTTCCATTGGAAGCCCAGGAAGCCACAGGCCTTCAAAACCCAAATTTCTATGATATGTGCCCCGTTCTGGCCCTTGGAGAGACAGGCAAGGGCTTTGGGAAGATCTGCCCGCGTGATGGTAGGCCAAATTGCAGCATCGTGGATGCTTTGCCTCCGGAACACCATTCTCCCACAACTCATTTTGTCTCCTGGTGCTGGCACTATACCCTAGAGGTGGTGGTGAGTGGTGTTCAGCTGTGGGCGCAATCTTCTTCTTCTCGGACAGCGGAGGTGTTCCTGTGGATGTGTTTCTTTTGCAACAACCAGTACCGAATCCAGGATGGCACTTGTAGCAACTCCAACGACCTGAGCACGGTCTTCGAAGCACGCTTATCCAGTGCAAGGAACATGCTGGTCATCTTGGACACATTCCTGACGCCACACTACTACAAGCGGGCATGGTGTTTGTTTGAGACATTCATTTGCTTGAGGAAGAAATTCCCCATGACCGTCATACTGCCTCCAAAAGAGTTGACAACTTTCAAACAAGTACTGGAAACCTCTCCGTGGCGTGTGAGAGATAGTTTCCTGCAGATTGACTTGCAGAACGCAGAAGCTTCCGTGGAAGCTGATGCGGTGGCCATCAAAGACTTAGTCCACAACTCTTGCGGGTTTGATGTCGTGAACACAATGGTCAAGGAAGAGTTTATGTCCTGGCTCATGCGCGCATTCCAGGAGTATGTCAAAGGAACAATCCAGGCAAATGATCCGAATGTCTGGCATGTTTAGATGGCACGTGCCTACTTCGGAGCTGTACCGTCTGTGTAAAGTGAAGAGGCATATGCTGATCACAATGCCTCTCAAACAGCTCTGTCTTCGCATGCTTTCCTCTCCTCTAAGCGTCCTTGCTGACTGCTGCTTTTTTGGTGAGCTAGTTCCTGTACGGATCATTTTGTATAGATGCAGCTTGGCCGTGCTGAACGGATTCAGGGAACCCTTATCTTTGAGTTGCGTCACGTGTTGCACAGGCTCTAACGGGCAAATATGTTTTCAGCTAATTCATTTGCAGCAAGGACTGCGTGGCCGCTTTCCAGAGGCACTGGGCCTGAAAATCTACCGTCAAGAAAGGATGTCCTAGTTTCCCAAAACAGGAGTCCCCAACATAGACCCCCCAAATAGTACGTACAACCCTTATCATAGGGACCCCCAAAAAGGTACCCAAAACTTTGGGAACCTGCCAGATACCCTAAGTCAGTCCAAAAGCTCCGCCTTTGCATGTGGTAACCCCCAAGCTACCACACACAGCAAGCGCGGTGGAGCGCCCCGATTGGTAGTACATATGAGCTATAGTCTAAACTCCTTAAAGGGGGTTATATAGGGGATTATATAAGGGACTACTATAGGGCTTATTAAGGGGGATACTAGGAGTTTAGACAATGGCTCATTTCATCGTTGCTATGCTCATTTTTCCTTTCATTCATTCTGCCTTTGATGATGTATTCTTGAACATGCTTACCATTCTCAACATGTTCTTGCCAGGCAGCCCAACGAAGCACAGGAACTGAAGTATCCACCACCCGGCCTGTAACGCAAGGCTCCTCATACAGGGGAATCCAGACATGCTGGTCGCAGGACCCACGCGTTTAAGTTGTCTTGAGTCTCTTGAGTCTTTGCTAGAAGCCTACAGGCACATATGGGTCTGTCAACCTAACAACCAGCAAAAGTGCATTTTTTGAGGCTCTGGTTTTCTTTGCACAGGAACTTCAAAGACCTTGACCTGCTCCCTATGCAGCCCTTCAGCGCGAATGGCTGAACCAGTGACCTTTACCCTTGAAATCCCTACAGCCCCAATCCTTAAACCCTAAACCCCAAACCCTAAATCATCCTTAGAGCCCCAAAAGCCCAGTCCTAAACTCTAAGACCTTGACCCCAATCTCTGACACAGGTCATGAAAGGAGCGCTCTTGGGCTTCCTGAATAAGACCGGAGTCACCCTGCCCAAGGCGGCCGGGAAGATTTCAAATCTGGGATCCAGGGAGGGTTAGGGTTACACAGGGAGATATAGAATCTTTTGGAGGATTACAAGGAATTTCGCAGGCGAGAGGTCTTCTTTTTATAGTTGGTGCCGAATAGGGAATGTTTTGTAGCGACTTTTCTTTTGGTTTAGGGCTTAGGGGTTAAGTACGTTAGGGATGGATTCCCTCACTTCCTGCTGAGACCATGATTTTTTTTTGGGGTGGGTACCTTGGCGGGTCTGAGGTTCACCTGGAATAACCTAGACCCTTTTAAGCAGATGAAGATAGCAATATACTAGGTACAACACCCCGTTTATTGGGTAGATGTTGGTTACTCCCTTTAGGGGAGGTCATGTAGATTGCCCTAAACCCTCAACCAAAAGAAACCGCCAAGGAGGTTGGGTAAAGAGGGTGGCTACGGTAGAAGCCTGAGTGATTACCTTAGATATTATTACTAGTATTTCTGTTATTACAATAGTGCTGATGAAAATAAATTTGCAAATCAATTGGACACCAAGTTTACACAAGGGTTTGGGGGGATAATTCCCAATATCATGATCCTAGATTGCATGAGTAGCCACGTATGGTATAGGGCACCGCAAATAGACTTCAACTTGATACGCATTGATAATACTAGGCTTCTGCATCGCGGTATGTGACTTTGGTGGCATTTGGGTTTGCTCTCCATAGGGCTCCCCAAAGAGGACCCTGTAGGGAATGCTACTCTTCATTGCTCAAGCTCCCGCATTCCTTCGAAACCTCCAATCACGCGGAAGTATGGTTTAGGGTTTAGCGGAATGAGGCCATGCAGGATCCATTGTATCAAAGCAAATTTCCTCTGCTTGCAAGAGTACAAACAGGAAGATCTTCGATAATATTGGCACGTAGCTTGGCACTGGCAGTCGTGATTTCAACCCCACATGCGACTCTTAGCATGGGTAACAGTAGCCGCAGCAAGGACGAATTACCAAGAGTGGTTCTACCAGTGGAATGTGGAGAAGTATATAATCCCAATATAACCCCAATATAATCCCAATATAACCCCAATATAACCCTAAGTGTAGGCAGAAGCATCCGCACTTCTCTTGCCTGGTCATTTGGACATTGCATGCGGTGGCTTATGCGCGTGTTCTCATACCTCTTACCTTACTGCCTCGCCATGACGGGTGGTTGCACTTCTGGGATCATCAGTGGTGGGAGCTGACCAGGGAAATGGATTGCTTGTATATGCCATGGCCAAGCCGTGTTTGTCAAGATCATGGGCCACTGCAAGGGGGGTTCCCTATGAAGAGATCTTCCCAGTTTCGGGGATGAGATAAGCCTTCACTGCTGACAGGCCCCAGCTTTGCTCTTAAATGCTTCCGGTCTAAGCATACCAGAAGCCAGTCAAAGTTTTCACATCTCAGGACGGAGGCTATGGTTTAGTGTCTCCAAGCTGCAAGGAGATTTAGGGTGTAGGGTTTCGGGGCTTCGTGTCTCCAAGCTGCAGGGAGAAGACGCTTCAGCTGAAGCGCGCAAATGGGTGTGCCGCTAGGGTTTTGCCATTGCTTTCTGTAATTGTTATAGGTGATAATTGGTTGTTGGCTCGATGGTGCCAGCGAGAGCAGGCTTTGCCGAGTAACAGCCTCAACCCTAAACCCCAAGTAATGGGTTTTGGGTTTAGGGTTTAATCTTCTCGGATTTTTGCATCCGCAGATCGACTTAGGAACCCAAAATGCAGAAGTGGGCAGTCATTGGGAACCCTGGGCCTAGGATTTAGGTTTTAAGGTGTTAGGTTTAGGATTTAGGGTTTTAGGTTTAGGGCTAAGGATTTAGGGCCTAGCGCTGCGGAACCCAGAGAAGCTTCAACTGTAGGCACTTTACTGCCCGATACAAAGAACACCTATCAGGATATTTAGCTGCTTGAGCAAACTTCTCCTAGTCTCCCTGCAGCCATGGAGGGGACCTGCCACTTATAAAACAGCCAGCCCTGCTGAGGCTTTGGGCAGCAGTATATCCAGGAAACGGTGGACGCCATGGGTGCCCAGCACACAGTTTCTGGATTTTCTCCACACAAGTGGTTCTTGTCTAAGGAAGCTATGATGGCGCTTGCAGTACGTGTTGTCGCTATTGTTTCTGTTGCGAGTTACAGATGTTCAGAAGATGTGCACAAGGGTTGGTGGCAGGGAGCCCTGACAGCGTCCTGTGACAAATCAGTCGGACAGATCTCTTGGAAGTTTCCCTCCCCAATGAAGGCCCTCTTTGTCAGGTAAGTCAGTTAAGTTGAGGGTCCTTAAGAAGCTGGCTGGCTGTACTTCATGAATCCAGCCCAGACGCGAGTTCCTCCAGTGCAGGAAGGCGTATGATGGCAGAGAAGTAGAGTTTCTGGGCCCCTGGCAGCCTGGAGGCGCCTGGGGACCCGACCTCCGGCGGGCCTGTCATGATGTTTGCTTGAGCTCAGAAGCAAAAACACGATCTGGTTGAGGTGTGCCCTAAACCCGAACAGGAAGTAATTTGGGTGGTAGCCTGTGATGTCTCACAGCGGCTGGGGATTTGGAACAAAGCCCAGCTTCGATGGCTTCTTGGGCAAGATCAACGAGGTTCGCTGGGCGCAGGATGTGCCACCACCCACAGATCCCTGGAAGTGGGATGGCGCCATCGGCGCATGGATACTCAGCCCTGCGCAGGTAGATGCCCTAGACCCCAAACCTTAAACTCTGGACCCTAAACCCTAAACCCTGTAACCTAAACCCCTAAACCCTAAACCCTAAACCCTGTAACCTAAACCCCTAAACCCTAAACCCTAACCCCAAACCCTAAACCCCCATACCATCCCAGGCCCTCCTTACCTCACAGGTACCACGTACACCAGGGCTCAGCTTCATCCTGTGTCCTCTACGCCCGGGTTGCTGGTGCAGGGCTCAGGCGTCCTTGTCTCGTGTTTGGGAATATAAGGTTTGAGGTTTAGGGTTGGGGGTTTAGGGTTTAGGGTTTAGACTTTAGGGTGTAGGGGTTATGGGTGGTTGTCAAAATTATGGCTCCCTTTTTGGATCCCTATTATAATACGGCCCCTAATATTTAGGCACAAAGGGACCATACTTTTGACAACCACCCATATAAGGTTTAAGGTTTAGGGTTGGGGGTTTAGGGTTTAGGGTTTAGACTTTAGGTTAGGAGTGAGGGTTTGGGGTAGGGTTTGGAGTTTAGGTTTTAGGGTAGGGGTAGGGTGTGGAGTTGAGGATTAAGTTTAGAATTGGAGTTTGGGTTTGGGGTATGTTCAGGCTCAATTGCTTAGGTTGGGGTGAGGGGCTTAGGGTTCAGGGCTCATGGGTTAGGGTTTGGGGGTGGGGCTTCGGGTTCAGGGCTCATGGGTTGGGGCTTCGGGTTAAGGTTCGAGGTTTAGAGTTTAGGGTTTAGGGTGTGGAGTTTTGGGGCAAGGGGCCCACCAATGTGAAGCGTGGAGAATCCAACGGAAGTTAGATGCACACGAGATTTGTGGAGGGGTATTCTGGCTGGCGGAGCCGGAATACTTGCGAAGGTTACTCCTGATAACATCTGCATATTACCCAGAGATGCTATTCGATCTTAAGCTTAGGTTCCTAAATGCGGGAAGACGGCAGTTTACCTGATTGAGGACCAAGACCATGTGGTAGCTGAATCTTGCCTCTAACTGCAGGTGTCAGAATTTCCCCTTGCACTCTTGGCGTGCGACTATACTTGGATGTCCAGGGTAGGTAAGGGCCAATTATTCTGGGAGTTATAACCCCATCAGGTGTCCCCTAAGCCTCCGAAGTAC